TCTTATGCTGGATGGTGAGATTCGGCACCGTCCTGTAAGTCAGCATGCGGGAATTCCTCGTCCAGGTATCACCCATCAGAGGTGCACCGCCCCCACCGCAACAAACTCTTAACTCCCGACGGGGCTTCTGACGTGTGTGATAGTCTAGTGCTTTTAAGTGTAAGTTAGGTAAAAGTGTAGGATAACGAAGAGAAAGGAAAGATCGCGCCTGGTCTGTGGCCCGTTTGTTAGGTTATTGCTCCAGCTTTCGTTTGGTATGGATCGGAGAATCCACGGAAAACTACTTACCTGAATAGCTGACCGCTAGAATTCTTGTACAGACAGCGGCTGAACTCGTCCCAGTTATCTAGCTGGTATCTAAATTCTGCCACTGTCGAAACTGGAACCCTAGGACCTCCTAGGTCTGAGTTGCTGCAGAGGCAATAGCAATGGTGGCTTTGAGCTAAATTTTTTTCTCGCCTTCCCTCTCATTTGTTTGTAGTCTTCCTTTACTTCCTCCACTTCTTTCTTCTCTTTTTTCAATTCATAATATTTCTTCTCCACCTCTTCTTCTCCTCCTCCCTTCTTTGATATTTTTCTCCGTCTTCTACTTTAGTTCACCAGTCCGCGATAGATCATGCGTACTTTCGTATTGGATTGGCGTCAATTTGAAAATGTTTCCATACACATTCAGGAAATACGTCAGTTTTACCCGTCCGGGTTCGCGTGCCATGCGATTAACTACATCCAGAACGCACGGGCTGGCATTGATTTCCCCAAGCCAGTTTCATCACAGCACGTGCCCTTACTTCGGTAGTCAGGAAGTCATGTGTACTTCACTACCATCGATGTGTACGATACATCAATAATACTTTCGTATGACATCGATATCCGGATCAGCCTTACATGCAAAGACCTCAAGCAACCACGAACCCAAATCTCAAGCTACTACGAACTGAAGGCAATCAGGGGCTTACGGATATCGTTGTATCCCACCCTCCCATCCCGAGATACACCCGCAGAAGCAGGAGTAAAACTGACAGGAATCGCGAACGAATATATGCCCCTTAAAAACGCGGGGATCCGCCTGCAAAACTTCAAACAGGTTTGTTCTTAAACAAATTAAAGAATATTTTAAGTTAAAAAATATAATATCATATAGTTTTGATTATTTGGGTACGTTAATTAGAGCGAATAAATATTTTTTGGCTAGGTTTCTTCTTCCAAAGCTTTTTAGCATTTCCCTGCGATTTTTATTTTGTTGAAGTTCAGTCAGTTCTATTTTTCTGTCTTTCTAAAAATCGATCAGTTGTAACAGTTTTATAATTGTCGTACTGTTCTATAAAATTGCTGCATTGATATCAAATTCAAGCAGGTCTTTTTTTACTTTCAATTATCCAATAATGGTCTTGACCTTAAGTGAAATAAGTAAACATTGAGAATAATTTGAGTAAATTTGCCTTCTCTGGTGGTGAGAAAGTTAGGCCTTTGGCTATATACTATGTGACATTGATGGATAGTTTCAGTTGTATTTACTCCGTAGCCAGGAATGGAATGTACTCTCAAAGAATGACGTATGTAGTAGGATTTAGCAGGTATGTCGCGAGCAATGCTGCTACTGACACGAGGCACCGTTCGACATTCCGAGTAAGCCGCTACACCTAATAATAAAAACAACTGACAGCTGCACCAACGGAAACAACTGACAGCTGTACCAACGGAAACAACAATTCAAAATTAATCAGACATACCTACAATAATACATATACAATTACTACAGAAATTTCATTGATCAGTAATTTTCAATTGTAATTTTTACTTTTTCGAATATGTAATAAGGAGAAAGATATGTAATACTGGGAAAAACAAAATAGCGATTTTGACGGAAATACGTATGTTGTGATTCCTGATACCAAAATAGTTGTCATATTAAGTGCACAAAGTGGGTGTTTTTTCATGATCAAGATTGAATTTTTTGCCGAAACCGTAGGTCGAGGAACCAAATTATTCCAAAGCTGATTGTTTATTGGATGCAATTGTCGCTATTTGTTAATCAATCAGCATTATTTATAGTTATTTTAAATTATACTTCTTAACAGTGTTCCTATTTTGACCCCGTATTATTGATGTTTCGCTGCAGCATTGAGAGGCTTTGCCGGGTTAAACGGCAGGGGTTACTAGCATGGCATTGTATAAGTCATTTGCTTAACAGACTTTTCATTTGAATGTACATACATTTACACTGGCCTGAATTTCATTGCTTTTGCTATAATTAACAGACAATTAATCTTACATTGGCTTATTTCTTCTCTTCAGTTTTGAGGTTCCGCCTTGTCACTGCCTGTGTTTAATATTTCTCATAACTTATGGTTAACTAATTTTGTGCACTTATTTTCAGTTCATTCACACTTTGACTTTAATTATTCTCTTGGATTTACTATTTCAAAATCCACATTTCACCCGACTGTTAACCGAAGGTTATCCCAAGATCGCCCCGTCATGATAAAATTTTATATATGTGTGTTATATATGTTTTATGTGTTCTATATGTATTTATATATGTTATAGACCGTCTATACAGATACTCGGTAGCGAAATATTAACGTTAAGTAGTTATTTTATTACTTTTTACGTAGGGTTGGGAGCTCTCTTGTTGTTACTTAGAAATAACAATACTTTCTTCAGTTACAACATTTCTATCTATGTATTAATCTGTAAGCATATTTATTCATTTAAATATTCTATTAGAAACAACAACAATAACAATTTTCATAAACACAGGTCCTCTTATAAATTCTCCTATTCTCATTATCTAATACTCGCTACAAATCCCTCTTTGCATGCATTACCAAATTTCCTCGTAATTATTAATTTAGAAATTTTACTTTAATGCAACACTGGTCTTCCTAAAATGGCAAATACAAATAAAACTAAATGTTTCCCGTTTTGCTACTTTCCTTGCGCAGACGCACCGCTATCCTGAACGTCGTCCACCTACTGTTTGCAAAAGAATTCGGTCCACTCCGATTGTGTTCGTGTCTGCCACATACGTAATTATATTTCCTCTTCAATCGCACATTTACTACTTTGAAACTTCGCCTTTAGAAACTAACAATGCAGTCTAATTCTTCCTGCATCCGAATAGTTTTCCCTCCTACATCTGACTCACATCGTGTCTGAACATCGTCTGCCCCGTTTTATCATCTCGCGCGTCATTCATCTGTCTCTCATCTGCGCGAAATTATGCTTAAACACGTCTCTTTTTCGTTTCTCGCGCGCCGATCCTTCCATTCTCATTAGACGATCTAACTCCTGATTAGTCACACACATTTCAACATATTATCTGTTTATTCTTTGGTTTCCTGCTCGTAATCACTTCTTAATTTGTTTTGTGCCTCACGAAATTTGCTCACGCGGCCTTTCACTGCATTATTTGTTAACATATTATATATTTCCCCACTATCAACTCTGTTGTCCTTTCCTTGTTTTCCAAACAAAGCTCGGTTTCTTTTCTATACCCTCATTGTTGCTGTCATCCATATTTACAATGACGTAACATTATTATATCTATTTAATTACCCTTGTGATAACCCATCACAATACCGGCAAGGTAGTTTGACCATAAGTCAGGCGCAGTGGCTGGTAATATTTTCAAACAACATCTCAAGCTACTCGTCTCACACTTTAACGGTTTTTACACGTTTTCTCTTAAGTAAACTTTAGCTTCAAACAACTCCAGCTCTTTTAGTTGAATCACCACTCTTCGTTCCAAGCGATAACAAAACATACTTTGTTGTTAATATCTTGACAGACAAAGCCAATCGGTTACTGATATTTTCCGAATAAGATATAATGAAATTTTACAATGAAGTTATTTATGAAATTGATTCATATTCCTTTATAAGAATATAATAATAATTCTTAATATTTTTTTATAATATAATTCTTAATATTTTGTCACCAATGGTGTATTGTTGATTATGAACGGAGAAAATACATTTGAAAAGTAGATCCTTTAAGTTTCGATACTAAGGGATGTCTGCTCTGTAGAAGATCCCAGGTGTTTTAGTTTGTTCACATAATTTCCAACAAAACATGTAATTTATATTTATAAACTCGATTCAAAGTTCATTATAGCGTACATTGGCAAATTTTCTCCTATCTATGATAACAAACAGCTACAAGCCATTTAAGTTACTGGCCTTTTGAGCTACAAGCAATTGGTGCTAAGCTAAAAACATAGTAGATAATACAAAGATTAAAACAAAAATAATGAACCGATGTTGATTATAATCACCTATTATTTATCTATCTCTATAATAAATTACTAAAGAAGAAATATACATTACAAATCTTATAAATAATAACGATTTATAATCCAAAAGAATTGTTATAATAATATTACAAGAATTTAAAGACACAATATTCCAATCCAAAAAAAATATATAATCATTTACACAAACAAACAAACAACCCCCCCAAAAATATCATTGATCAGTTTTTACACCGAGGGCAGAGATTGTTCAAGAGTGAATGACATCAGCGGCTGTAACTAATGTTCGAATTTGGGTATTTGTTGGTAAAATGGTTCGGTTATCACCATCTAATAAACAGAAAGATCTAATGCAGATATATAAGAATCTAATTCGATGAGGTTTTTTTTAAAGTCTATATATTCATATTGTCAATCCATTCTCAAACGAACGTTACGAATTCGCTAGCCTCTCATCTCTCCACGAGATCCCAGATGTTACGTGAAGTTCCCCACGTGTCCCCTACTAAAAACACATAACCGCCGGGGATGGGGATGGTGGGGGAGGGGAGGCCATTCGCCGCGCAAGCCCTCGCCCCGCGTCGCACACAACAACACGGCTCGGCGTGGGTGGGGAGGGGCGGGGAGAGGGGAGAGGGAGGGAAGCTCGTTATTTTTAGTATCTTAACCATCACCCTCCCAAATGTACCACTTGCCGTCTCGTCTCGTCTCGCCTCGAGGCTCGCTTCAGTGCCTCTGGAGAGCGCGCCCGGGCTAGAGGACAGTGCCTGCCGCCTGCTCGGGGACCACGGACACGCTACTTCAGGCTTGAGCGCCCCAGCGCCATGGATCTATCTGCTGACGTCAGTATCGATAGTCCAGCGTGGCTAGGCTGCCGTGCGGCGCTGCTTGGGGTCGCCTGGCACGGGGACTCACACAAGACTTGAGTGCTTTTTTCTTCTCAGTATTCTTGTATTCGGCATGTATGTACTCGTGTATTAACACCACATGTACGTTATCTTACTGTTTAGTAAGACTTAGTGTTAATATTTATCATAAAGAACACAAATCCCTGTTGAACTACACGGCAGGGGTTACAAGCATGTCATTGTATAAGTAATTTGCTTAACAGCTTTTTTCATTTTCATTTCACAGAACTTTCAGTTTTTGTTTATTCGATTGCTCACACCTAATTTGGAACAGGGGTTTCATTTGATTCACTAATATACAGTTCATCTAACGATATAAACATATAATATAACATACGATTTCAACACTGTCACGGCAAATTTTCATTTATCGTCCATATTAATTCCATATTTAAAATCTCATGAATATTGTGCTAGGTATCGTGGTTTCCAAAACAAAACATTTAAATATGATATTGTATTTGAAAGTAATTTAATTAGATTTTGAAAGAAAACAGAAATTTATCGTTATTTACTTTAATTTTGAATTATAAATAACATACATTCATAAAAATTAAACAATTAAACATTCTGTTATAAAGTACACTACACACTACATATACACCAAACGATTATGTGTTTATCAAGTTATCTTGTTTCTGAATAAAACTAATGAAAAGTTACGAAAAATGTGATTTGAAGAGTTTCGTCTTGTAATAGTTGTGGAAATGTTATCTTTCAGAATTGTTTTGAGAAGTTATCATTCCTTCTATTTGTAAACTAACGTAGAACAATATCAACGTGACGTTACTTCAGTGCGTAAACAAGGATCAAGTTGATTTACAAATTCGTACCTCAGAAGAGGCTTCTTCTAAACACGCATAGTAATTAACCATTTTATGTTTGGGCATCTTTATTCAGTACACTAAAATAATTATTTTCCAGTTTCTTGCTAAAAGTATACAAGTTTGTTCTTGCAGCTCGTTTGCAGGGTTGGGTATTTATATAACTGGCACTCTCTCGACCGTTTCTATTTATACATAGTAAAATATTCCAAATCTTTCCTATTAGTTTCAAGTAAATTTTTGTAGAAAATCCTTTTTGTGATATTCTTTTTTACACACAAAATATTGCAGTGCACTATTTATTTTCATATTTACACAGTATTTGTTCCAGAATTAAGTCATAAACTATAATTGCTTTTAAGAATTACTTCTTTAATATAAAATTGAGAACTTCTCTTTTAAGTGTACTGCAATTTCTTTATTCCGTCTATTAGTAATGAGAGAAACCGGTTCAAATAATGATTAAGTTTTAAAGCAAAAAGTAAGTGAAAAATGAACAGCGGATATATTAAGGTTTTCTGCCATCTGTAAAAACAATTTCTAAGTTAAGAACCAAACGACTTGGAGCAAACGTCGGTCAGCTTTGAAGCACGTCCAGGACGCACTATCTAGCGGATAACAGGGCGGACAGTCCACTTCCTCTGCAGGAAATTCTTGCTTTGATGTCCGCGCGCCCTAGATACAGTTACGATCTCAAAATTAAAATTATCGTGGCGTTCAGTAGTTTTTATTGATAAATAAAGGTGACGAATGATAGGACGATAAATTACAAAGGTTGATGAACTCCTTAGGCTCTTTACAGTAAATCCAAATTGCTTTAAAAGATGATAGCTGGGACTATTCTCTTCAGGTGGGCGGATTTGTTCCCTCTATTTTCCCTTATAAATTAGAAATAAAATTAAAAAAAAATGAAATAAACCAATAAAATAAAATATTGGTAAAAATATACTACAATAAAAAAAAGAGTTTCATATTTGTACTCTTTATACGAATAGTTTATTTGTTTGTACTTGGCGCGTCGGCCCGTGTAAGATCCATGGCCTACTAGCGACGACCCGGCAACGCGGCCACGAGTTAAGAGGGTGGGTGTGGTTGGCACGAAGACATCCCCACGCCGTATTCTGGTTTTCTCAACATGAGAAGTAAATTTTCGCATCGTCACACAGCAACATATACTGGGTCATTGCATGGAAAACGCACTCTATAATCTTGCCTGACCTGGAATCGAACCTGGGGTTGCGTCAAAACGAGCACGCTGTCCAAAACAAGTAAGCCACCGGAGCTTTATAGAAGTTGTACTTAAAGTAAATGTTAATAAAACTTCAAAATTTTTGTTGGACCATGTAAATTACGACAGGTTAATCAATTTCATCATTCAAGTGATATTTTATTTTTTAATATTTTTATTACCTAAGTACTATATTGCTATAATTTCCTGCATATAATATGTGAAAACTCTCCATTTGACTCGTTCACAGGACAGCCTAATTTTATCACAATCCACCCAAACCCTCTTAAACAGTTATGGGTTTCCTGTAGTTCAAAACCTATATACGCCAATGGTTGGAACAACTGAAACGTCACAATGTCGTTTGCTTGATTCCGTTTTATTCTTTAATATGATCAGGATTCGATCACTACTCTTTCTTTGTTTAATTCCAACAAACAAAGCACTGTATTACGTACACACGATTTGTTACATCTTTCAGCCTTTAGCTCTCCCAGATGTTTGCTGAAAGCCCCCCGGTATAATATAACAAAATAATTAAAAACATAGGCATTGTTACAATTTAATTAAGAGGGGAAAAATCTAGTACTTCCACATGATTTAATGATTTATGATGTATTTGCGAAATGAATGAGAAAGGTATAATTGCACCGGTTTTTAAGTATCGGAGATGGGAAAATGATAGCTGCTGATGTAATATGGAAGAAAGATTCGGGTCTTGAACAAAATAAAGCGAGGAGCTACGTATTTAACATCGAAACGTCCATTCAGAATCAAAACGGTTTAATACTGAAAGTATAATTTTTGTTCAATAATGTTGGTTGTGTTTGATAGAATTTCCGAATATCTATGGAACTATCAGAAAAGACGTAATATATGTTTCACATTACAGGGGAAGTACGGGTTATTGAACAAGATACGAGTATGGAAATCAATTTCTGACATCCTTTTGTTTCTCTAAGAGGCTTACGGTTATACCCCTTTAAACTTTGAAAAGAATTTAAGAACCTAATTATCCGAAATAACTGTCAAATATATTATTTGAAAATGAAGAGTATAAAAAATAAATTTGTACACCTTCATAATCAGTAATTTTGACTTTTCCCGTCATTAAAGCCAATTTAAGATGTCAATCGTCAATCTAGCCTCGTAATAAGAAAAATAATTGTTTAAATAGGGGATGAAAGGGAAATATAAAATTCAAGTCTACGTAACTTCATGTATGCACGTACACCTGACTGAAGTAATTTTTACTTGTCAAAGGACGTCAACTTCTATAACTTGTTTTAGTCACATTGATTTTTAACCAGTACTCAATTTCCTTTTTTTTTATTTTTAATATATTTCAAATTATCCGAATAATGTCGGAATATTCTAGATTCGAATTACAAACCACATTAAGTTTTCTGTTTTAATTTTAACTATTAATTTTTATCTTTTTGGTTTATAGACAGTGTAATGTAAATGTATAGACAAAAATCTACGTCGAACCGATGTGCTCTACTAGTTTGGGTACAGTGACCTCTGATTTTACTGGCAATATATAATGTGTGTCGAATGGACTGGTTCTCTTGCAAACTGTAGTATATAAGCTTGTTTTTTCCTCAAATACACGAGAAGGGGAGTCAGACCAAATTACCAAACTCTGCTTAAGAAGTTAAGATGTAAATATTGTCCCTAACACAGCAATTTATCGTCAGTTCACTGATGGTGATCATCAATCATTGTCTTCGCTCGCACACAGAACAAAATGGCTCTGCAATGACGTCGTGGGGTGAATTTACGCGGAAATGCCCCTGTTGCAACGGCGTTTAGCACCGCCGGCTCTTGAGGGAGGGCAACGGCGAGAAACGACGCCGGCGTTTGTTTGGACGCGTGTTCCCTCACGGCAGAACGTGCGCCCGCGCCGCTGACGAGAGCCAGACGCAACGGATAACACAAGGGACCAACGCGATGCCCCCCCC